CTGGATGAAGTTCTCCAGGCTTGAACATACCTCAAGACAGCTTTGATCTGATTCTCCTCTAGGTACGATTTCTTCATTGTGAGTCAGTCCGTGAAAAGCGGCACAGTTGCACCCACCCATTACAACGTCATCTACGACAGCAGTGCGCTGAAGCCGGACTACATGCAGAGGCTAACGTATAAGCTGTGTCACATGTACTACAATTGGCCGGTAAGTAGTAAGTTGCCCTTTGGTGGACCTTCCACGACTACTTAGCACTGACACCAGTTGAGCTGTAGGCTTTTGACTACTTCCTATTTCTTATCCCAGTCCTACCTCGTTCCCCAAAAGCTGAATATCCTGGACAGGGAGCAGGTTTTCTCTACAAGTTAAGATGGAAAGTGGGGGAAAATAAGTCCAGTGGTGGTTTTAGCCTCCTAGAAAATTCCCTAAAAGTTGGACTAAGTCAATAAAGTAATACAAAAACGTTAACAACAAAGTGGTTCCGTTTAGATATTGTCATGTTCTGCAGCTTGGGAATGTACATACCAAGGTCCCTTCCAAATTTACTATTATTATTACTTCTGCCGTTGTGGTAGGTGAACACACCTCCCATCAAGTTCAAAAGTTGTTTCTGATGATCCCCAACCCATTGACAGATTTCTTATTTTTTTTATTGTCTGTAGCCTCACCAGCTTTTCTGGGTTTGAATGAGATGAGTCACAGAATATCTCTTTGGAAAATCTTAAGTTATCTCCTGATCCTCTAGATAAAGTTATATTTTTAAAACTTCCATTTATTTATGACCGTTTGAACAATTAACCAGTGGAACTACCTGCCTCTAGAAGCCGTGAATGCTCCAACACTGGAGGTTTTTAAAAATCAGCCATTTGTCTGAAATGGTACTGTAGGGTTTCCTGCCTGAGCAGGGGGTTGGACCAGATGACCTCCAAGGTCCCTTCCAACTGGATTATTATTATTACTGTATCTAGATTGTCTCTTCTTGATGGATCTCTTCCCCTGTTGAATTCCTGTTCCGTTTTTTTCTCCTGCTTAAAAAGTTAAAAGAGGCGAAATTCCTTTGATTCCTAAAGTCAGGGACCTCTTCAGCCACTCTAGAAAGCATATCCTTAAAAAACGAATCCCTTCCTGATCCAGAGACTCCAAGTTGAGGTTTGCTGTATCCCAGAATACGGCCGTTCCCTTCACAGTGAGGCTGATGGGCTGTTCTGTGTCTCTTCCTTCCTTTGCAGGGAGTTATTCGGGTGCCTGCGCCCTGCCAGTATGCCCATAAGTTGGCTTTCCTCGTCGGGCAGAGTATCCACAGAGAGCCCAACTTAGCCCTTTCGGAGAAACTTTATTATCTGTGAGTCTTACTGGAGGAGACGGTATAATGGAATGGAAAGAGCATTTGGACCAGAGAGAGTTCTTTTGTTAGGGGGGGGGGGGAAATAAAGAAATGCCTTAAAACTCAACGGAGTAGATATTTGATGCTGTTGTATTGCACACATCAGTGATAACTATATCAGGATTATTATTATTATTATTATTATTATTATTATTATTATTATTATTATTATTATTACCATCATTGGTGCCTGTATGACTTAAGTTCAGTTTCTCGTCCAGATCAATTTTCACTGGAGCCTGTTCCCGTTTTGTTGCCCAAAGAGTGGTTTCCTCAGCAGCGTTAAGAATAAAGTTAATTTAATCTCAGTCAAGACTGTGTGTGGGAATCCGTTTTTTCCAAGGGTTGGCGCCCCGTAAGGTGTTTTGCTCAGGGAATAAGGAGGTAGTGAAGTAGACAAGCTGCCTTCTCAACAGCTGGGTCTCCTTTCCTTGCAAACACAACCCGGGGGAGTTTAGAGGCATCAGAATACACACCTTTTGATTCAGCCTTTCCCCCCAAAGATGCCGAAGTATAAGCAGCCATTCTCTTTGGGCTTATACAGGTCGCTCGGTGCAGTGGTGGCGAACCTATGGCACGGGTGCCAGAGGCGGCACTCGGAGCCCTCTCTGTGGGCACACGGGCCGTTGCCCCAGCCCCGCCTCCCCTGCAGCCCCTCCACACCAGCCTCCCCCCCCGGAGGAGAGTCACCCCCGGGCACGGCCCGCCTGGAGCAGCGCAGCCAAGGACATGGCAGTGAGGACAAGACTCCGCCCTTGTGCCCCCATCACAAACAGACGCTGCGGGGCACAGGCGGAGGGCATGGCCACCATGGCGCTATTGGACTATCTGTGGCAGGCCGTGGAGGTGGTGGGTGGCCCTGTGGGTGGTGGAGGCGGGCAGGGGTGGGGCAGTGTGTGGGGTGTCTAAAAGGTTCGCCAACACTGGCTTAGTAGCTGTTCGAAATGACAGCGGCACTGAAAAAAGTGACTTACGACAATTTTTCCACACTTACGACCACTGCAGCCTCTCCCAGAGTCACGTGATTTACATTCGGACGCTTGGCAACTGACACATTTATGACCGTGTCCCGGGGTCACGTGATCCTCTTTTGCAATCTTCCAACAAGCAAAGTCGATGAAGTCAGATTCACTTAACAACCGGGTTACTAATTTAACAACTGCAGGGATTCGCTTAAGAACGGTGGCAAGGAAGGTCGTTAAAATGGAGCCAGACCCCTGTAACAAATTTTCCACTTGGCGACCTTAATTTGGGGCTCATAAGTTGAGGACTCTCCCTGCATTTGCTGTTTGCGAAACGTTTGTTCCTTTTAGCTCAATTGTATTAAGAAGAAGATTCAAAGACAAACTTAACCAGGTGTTTTAAAGTCTTCACTATAACAATTGGATTCATGTATAAGTAGTAGGCTAAGATTAAACCTAGTTTCATAGACCGTAAACCGAGATTTTGGCCATGGCAAATCAATCACACTTCTGTGTTCTCTGCTACTGGTTAAACCACATTTAGCCAACATGTCTGAATTTCTCATATGTGGCTAATTGGTTCATTCAGGAGCCAGACCCTTCTACAAAATATCAAATTTATTTATATAAAATAATTTACACATTAACAACTGTACACATGCACACGCCCACACAATACTTTTACCACGAGTTTAGGCCATTTTTTTCCCCTTTACATAAATCTAGCACACTATGTATTATTTTACAAGAATTTACATGTTTCTTTGAAGACACAATGGGGAGAAGCTTTGATCATTTATATTACAAACCTTCCATCAATTATAAAACAAAGGCAGTCTGAAAAGTATGTATAAACAGTAAAAAGAATATACAAATGGTTACAAAAGTCTTCCAACAGCCAAATAATCTCTTTGTCCCCCGCCCCAGCAAGTACGCAGTGGTTGTGCAACTCCTATCTTTTGTCTCCAGTCACAACAAGGGGTCATCCGTGACAAAATTCAACCTTTCTGATTTGAGAGATTTTTTGCTGGCAGTGGCCCAGGAATTAATACAATGTTTTTGTGTTGTTATTTCCTTCTGCGTATTTGACTCAAACACCCTTCGGAGCTGAACAATATGGAAACCCCAAGCAACGCCCACCTTAAATCTGCTTTTTTTGTTTTTTGCTTTTTTTGCAACGCTTGTTTCTTTGCCGTAATCGGTTTTGCTTTAATTTTTATTTCTTTTTATTTTTGTAGCGTACTTGAGAAGCCGAACAGCAGAACTTACGCAGACGGTTGGGAAAAATAATAATAATAATAACCTTTTGCACGACATTTTCACACTTCCTAGGAATTAATACCGGACACAAATCGGACTCCATCGTGGCTTTTAAAAAGTATGGGCGTCTCGGTGAGAATGGAACCGTAATAGGTCAACACAAAGTACACAGCTGCAGAGTTCAGACAGTACAAATAATTGTGCATTTATAAGGCAAACATCAAGGCTTCTGGAAAACTAGGGAGTTTCAAGACCATGTACGCGTCACATGGAGAATAAACACGGGGGATCAAAGAACAAGGAGCGTTTTTTTAAAAAATTGTTTTTAGGTTTGTTTGCTTTTTTTTTTCCACTTTCAAGGGAAGGGTTTCACCAAAGTGGAAATGGGAACTTAGGAATAGGGAAAAAAAAAATGGAAATAGGAAACAAAGTCCCTTAGGATCGGTGCAGGTTTAAGTTCCTTAATCCCATCTTCTCCTCTCTTTAATTTTTTTGTTTTGTTTGAGAAAACAGGGTAGCGCAAAAAAACAAATAATGCCTTTTTTTTTTTTTTAGCAGCACTGCCACGCCTTGAAGCCAGACCAATCCAAACAGAGACGTTTCTGGAGACAACAGAATGCGCTTAATAATAATAATAATAATAATAAAATTTTTAAAAGGGGGGGGGAGGGGCTGCGTGGCTTGCAAGCGCTGTGTCTAGAAAATCCGCTCGAAATAGTCCTGAAATCCCTAGTTTTTTGGGGGCGTTTTCTAGATCGGTCTGCGTGTGGGTGTTTTTTTTAAAAAAAGTCTGATGATTTTAGAGGATGTCCAGATGGTTGTAATTCTCATTTCACGGCACCCAGTCTTTTGAGAAGTTTCTTCCCTTTGGAAATGAGACCCTTCGCCTTTGTCGAAGAGACCTCCCTGCCTCGCCCGGGGCTACCAGAAGCCATAGTTGGCAGAGGTGACCCCGATGGGAGATGGGCTGTGGGGCTTGGCGCTCTCCTTGGTGGCGTACCTGTGTTCTCAGGAGGAACCTGATAGGTATATTGTTAAGTTTACTGAAGGGCTGTGGTCATGGACAACAAGAAAGCAGTGTGTTGGCTTTTTCATTCGTTTCTCAATCCTTGGCCTGTTGAAGACGGGGCAGGGGAGGGGGGAGACTTCAACTCCCAGAGTTCTCCAGCCAACACCGATCTAGAACAGAGGTCCCCAACCTTCGGTTCCGTGGAGAGAGGTTTTTCCACAGACCGGAGGGTGCGTGGTTTTGTGTGCTGCCTGCATCTCGCGGATGGGGCTTTGTTTGTGCGCCCCGGTTGCTGGCATGCCGCGGCCCGGTACCCGTCCACGGGCCGGGGCTTGGGGACCCCCAGCTCTATACCAGAGGTTCCCAACCTTTTGGGCACCAGGGACCGGTTCCATGGAGAGGTTTTTCCGTAGACCGGACGGCACGTGGTTTTGCGTGCTGCCTGCATCCCACAGATGGGTCTTTGCTTGTTTGTGCGGACCAGTTGCTGGTGTGCCGCGGCTCGGTACCAGTCTACGGACCGGGGGTTGGGGACCCCTGATCTAGAGCACTCAGTCTTGATCACGGCTGGCCGGAGAATTCTGGGAGTTGAAGTCCACCCATCTTAAAGTGGCCAAAGTTGACAAACGCTGCATTAAACACACACACACACACACACACAAACACACACACACCTTTTAGGGGCAGGAATTCTTTTTCTTCTTCCTCTTTTTTTTTTTAACGTATGCCACGTGACAGACCCATCCGTTTCCCGGAGTACATTAAAAGACGTGTGTAAATGGATTTATGGACTTGATTTATGTTAAAATCACGGCATAGATAGCTGAAGCCTTCCGCTTCTTTTAGTAGACCAGTCTCTGAAAAAATGACTTGTTTTAAAGAGGGATCTGGATTTTGCCTGGATCCCCTTTCTTCTCAGGAGGGATCCTGAGGAAGAGGGAGCTGGGGACTCGCACGTGGCATATGTCTACCTGGACTCACCCATTTCTGGGAAGAATCTGTGTCAGACTAGCTCAATTCTTGCTTTCCTCCAGGCTTCTTAATCCACCCCCCACCCCACCCCCTCGCCAATTTTTAGCATTCTGTCAGGACATATTTTGAGAAGATGGCACACTGGTGGAAAGGAGAGAAAACAACACCAAACCAAATTAAAATGAACCTTAATCACAAATCAAAGAAAGCTCTGAGACCTTTGGTTGAACGTATCTGGGTTGGGTGGCACGTGCCACACAACGCTCAATGGCGTGGAAGAGGATGACACCCCTAGGAAAAACAGGTTCTCCAAATGGAAAAATCCAAAATGGAGCTCCGAACAAGACCCAACCTCCCTCCTGTTAACATCTGCCTGGCTGTTTGGATATCTCAGTGGGTTTGTTAAGTCAAGGAGGTCCCAAGCTTGCTTTGATCTTCGATCAAGGTCTTGTCTAATGGGGGGAGGGGGGGGAGAAGCCAAAAGGGATCCTTTTCTCAGTGCAATTTCAACATACACCTGAAGATACCATCTCTGGAGCACTAATGCATTGGCCCACCGATCTGAGCGGCGCGCTTTCCTTTCAGCTTATTGCATTGGTCAACCCATGAGCTGCTGGGCAGAGGAGCACACGTCCATAAGGGACGCAAGAACTCGGCCATGGACAACCGCGCACCAGGAGAGGTGCTTTTAAGGCAAGCTGACAACCAGATACTGCAGCTTAGCATGCTTTCAAAAGAAGTCCTCTCTCTCAAAGGCCAGCCGGGTTGTTGAGCACAACCGGCTTTGCTCAGCAGCAATTTTGTGTTTCTTTTTCTTTTTTTTTCTTTTTTGTTCTCCCAAATTATCTAACAATGCAATATGCAGCTTTTCTTGGGAACCAGACCACTGGGAACGCTATGCAAACAAGCATTAAGGCCGGTAAGAAATATGTTCCAAATATTAAAAGGTTTTCTCCCTCTGTGGGTTTAAGCGAGCCTAAGCCCTTGAACGCAAGGCGCGTTCCGCGTTTCCTTTTTTTAAATCAGAAATTCTCCTTTCCTAACTCAGCGCCTTCTATGGCCGCCGGACTAGCAGTCCGATGGCTGGTCACCTGGGGGTGATAGGACTTGTAGTCCACCATAGCTGGAAGGCATCCGATTGGGAAAGGGCAGTCCTCAAAAAGAAGATCTGGAACCCAGGGCTAAGGAATTTTGGAGACATATTTCTCTTTTTTTTTTCTTCTGCACACGTCATGGGCCCAAGATGGCTCGCGTTACAGAAGGCCAACTTAGAGGAACAGGTGTATCTATTGGTATCTCCAGTTGCTCACTTACGTGAAGGCAACGTTGCCCATTTTTAAGGTGTGAAATGAACACTCTTCTTCTGTTTCCCAAGCAGATGAGCAAAAAAAAAAAAAAAATTAAAAAAAAACACGTATACATAAAATATAACAGAGAAAAAATTGCAAGGATGAGAGAAGACCCATGAACCCCTAAGCTCAGCAGCTTAAAACATCACTTTGAAATTTCAAAGTTTTGGGGCGATGTTCCAAAAAGAAAGAAAGTGTCTGAAGTTTTTACATCCATCCCCAAGTTTACTGTCTTAGCTAATTTCTATAGCAGGTCTATAATTTACAGATATAAACTGTTCAAGGTGGGGAACGGATATATATATATATATATATAAAATCTGTGGCTCCTAAATTAGCATGAGAGTGATCATTGATGGAAGGAACAAGTTGGTTTAAAGCGAGGAGCTGTTTTTTTTTTTTTTTTCTCTCCCAGCTTCAGAGCGATCTAAAAACTTGGTTTCAAAAATGTGTTTCTTAATATATATATATCTATATATACATATACATATGTACACAAACACATCAAGCCAAATGGAATCTGAAATGGTTGGCAAGGGGAACAAAGCGAAAACAACACTTGGTTTTATTATTATTATTATTGTTTCTCAATACTTGCTTACCCTTTTCGCTTTTGTACGTATAGGTGCGTCTTGAGGGTATCGCGAGGGAGCGTCGGATAAATAAACTTCTACGTCATCAGGCACTTCTTCAAGAAAATTTGAAGGAACAAGACCCGTCTGGTTGTTAAGTTCCCCCTGAAATGTGGAAATAGAAAGGGAAATTAATGAACAAACAAGGAGCCTTTAGAACGTTTCTCGACCATGGTGACCTCAAAATAGGTGGACTTCCAGAATGGTGGATTTCAACTCCTGGCTGGCTGGGGACTTCTGGGAGTTGAGGTCCACCTATCTTCAGGTTCTCAAATGCTGCTTTAGAAGTCTCCCCAATGCATTGATTCAAGTTATGGCAAAGTAGACATTGGAAGACGTTGAAAGCTAAAGCAGATTCTTATCCCCATGACCAAGAGTTGAAGGACACTAGATTAAGGGAGTCAACAAACAAGGAGCCTTTAGAACAACATTTCTCAACTGTGGTGACTTCAAAATAGGTGGACTTCCAGAATGGTGGATTTCAACTCCTGGCTGGCTGGGGACCTCTGGGAGTTGAGGTCCACCTATCTTCAGATTCTCAAACGCTGCTTCAGAAGTCCCCCCAATGCATTGATTCAAGTTATGGCAAGGTAGACATTGGAAGACGTTGAAAGCTCAAGCAGATTCTTATCCCCATAACCAAGAGTTGAAGGACACTAGCTTAAGGGAGTCAAGAAAAAAACCCTAAAGATCATTCTTGACTCACCATCCTTTGTGAGTGACACCCTTCCTTCAGATTCCTGGTTGTCACCCAAAAGGTTTTGCACCCCGTTAATACAGATCAGGGGAGGAGCACAGATAAAGCACTTACATAATAAAAACCATCTTCGTCAATTTCTCCAAAGACAGTGATAATGTCTCCAGTACAAAATGTGAGCTCAGCCTGCAGAAATGATACAAAAAAAAAAAAAAAAAAACCAAAAAACCATTGCTTTCTCAGGATCCCTTTTCCAAATGCCCTTATTCCAGGGTTTCTTAACTTTTTTGGCACGGAGGACTCCCTCCCACATTTCAAAATTTGGGCCGGACAACCTTTTGACTGGGATGTCTATGGAGATTCTCAATCATCCAGGTCATGGTCATCCTGAAGATGCTTTTTCTATTTTTATTTATTTTTTTTTTAAATTTTTATTAAGTACAAAGAAAAAAAAAGGATTAAAAACATTGAACATGGTAAATCGTCTTTGACTGACATCTCAGTCCATATTGTACATTGATTACATATAATATACCTATACATTTCTAGTCTCTTATCTAAGTTTATCTCTATACTGTGACCTCCATCTATAAAATTTATTCCATATTCGATAAAATTCTGTTTCTTCCTGATTTTTTAATCTTTTAATTATCCTATCTAGTTCTGCACAAATACATAATTTTCTTTATTAGTGCTTCCCCACTCGGTACTTCCATTGCTTTCCACTTTTGAGTAAATAGTATCCTTGATGCTGTGACCACATGGATAATTAAATATGTGTCCTCTTTATTTACATTTTTCTCTAGTATTCCTAATAGTAATGTCTCCGGTTTGTATTGAATGTTTTGCCTAGTCATTTCTATTGCCCAATCCCAGACACCTGTGCTTCTCTACATGTCCACCACACATGAAAAAAGGTGCCCTTTTCTTTTTTACATTTCCAACACATAGATGAATATCCGTTATACATTTTGGCTAATTTGGCCAGAGGGAGATGCCATCTGTAAACCGTTTTATACAGGTTTGCTTTATATGATGTCGCCAATGTGATTTTGTTATTTCGCTCCCATACCTGCTGCCATTGATCCATATTTATATTATACTAAAGATGCTTTTTCAAGAGGCAACTGGACTTTTTTGTTTTTGGTTTTTCACCTTCAAAGAAAAATAAAGAAAAAGCACCTTTGGGACAACCGTGACCTGGATGACTGAGAACCTCCATGGACATTTAGCTATGGACTTTGGGATGAACGCCCTTCGGACGGTGCTGGAGCATGAATGGATTTCCAGAAAAATAAAATTGCAGACCACAGGAATCATATGCATGTCAGTTTGAGATGCAGACAACACAGACTCATCCCCAACAGCCTGTGCCTGTCTTCAACAATGAAGCGACACGGGGCAGGCAACATCCTGCAGAAATGATAGCTTCCACAACACCGTCCTTTCAGCAGTTCCAAAAAAGCTCCATGCCCATTTGCACCACTCAGATGACCCTGAAGACACAGGTAAACCTCCAAGTGGCCTCAAGGACTCTCCAAAAGAAGGCAAATGTCTGGCTGTCTGCAAGGAGTATAAATCCTTCCATTCCCCACCATCCAGTCAGAGCTGAAGAAGCTTCTTGGATGAGAAGCGAAACGTCTTCAAAGAAAAACAAGAAAGTCCAGTTGCCTCCTGAAAAAGCATCTTTGGGACATTGGACTGGGATGGCAAATGGTCTCCTACCTTGAGCGGGGAGTTGGACTAGAAGACCTTTGAGATCCCTTCCAGCTGCATGCTTCTATGTTCTAAGTGGACAGTGGTCCAGGGAAAGTTTCTGGACAGACAGAAACTCCTGCCATACTTTTTGACCGACCCATTTTGTCCCCTAATGGGATGCTGTGGCCACATTTCCCACGGTTTTTACTACAAAACAAAATGTTTCGGATTTGTGTCCGTGACCACAATACCTCCACATCAACATTAGGAGAGCTTTCCCTTGGATCGTAGTCATATAACGCAACCATTCTTCTTGTGGCTGACCCAGGCGGACGGCTGCTTCTTCTGTTTCTTTCTGTTCCAACCCAAAGAGAGAAAGCAATTGCAACTGTCTTTAAGCGTACAACAAGCCATTAATTGTAGAGCCCTTGGTGGTTTGGGTTTGGTTGTTTTCTTCATGACCCAAATAGGGAACATCATCAGTGCTAGAAGGGAGTGGGATTTGTGGAATGGAGGAGGAAGAAGTGGAGGAGGGAAGGAAGGAAGGGAATGAGAAGGAAAGAAAGAATGAAGAAAGAAAGGAAGGAAAAGGGAAGGAAGAAAGGAAGGAGGGAGGGAAGGATGGAAGGAGAAAAGAAGGGAAGGAAGGGAATGAAGGAGGGAAGGAAGGAAAGGAAGGGAAGGAGGAATGGGAATGAGAAGGAAAAAAAGGAGAAAGAAAGGGAGGAAAGAAAAGGGAAGGAAGAAAGGAAGGAGGGAGGGAAGGAAGGAAGGAGAAAAGAAGGGAAGGAAGGGAATGAGAAGGAAGGAGCGAAGAAAAGAAGGAATGAAAGGAGGGAAAGAAGGAAGGGAAGGAGGGATAGGAATGAGAAGGAAGAAAGGAAGGAAAGGAAAGGAAAGGAGGAGGAGGATTGTGGGGTCCTTGGTGCTCTCTGAGCTTGGTGGTTTCCTTGCAGACATTTCATGACCCAACTAGGCAACGTCATCAATGCTAGGAGGGAGAGGGCTCTGCTCTCCATTTATATGCAAGTGGTTCACTCTGTCAGTGTCGGTGGGAGTGTTGCTTCCTTCTAAGTAGTCCCTCAGTATGGATACTGTTTATTGCTTTATTGTTGACCTGACATTACCGAGCAAGCCGCTGGTCTAGGTTCTAACTGCATTCAAAACGAACTCTCCTAGTTAAACACGTTGTGGGAACGCAACTTAGAGGAGGCCAGATCCAAAAACATGGAGAGCCTTCCAAAAGCTTCCAAAATGAACGCAATCCAGCCACCAGTCCCGTACATGTCCACAGGTGGCGGTCCACACTTACCAAGTTTCTCGATAGGGGTGTTCAGAGGGAGAAAGCCTTGCTTCAGAAGATGGTCCATCATTTCTGGGTCGTCCGCTTGGATTTCGGAAACCATGTTGCAAGGGATAAGGCCCAGCCTCGCACACGTTTCCCCCCGATAAAACCCATCACCATCTTTGTCTCCGTAAACCTGGAGATGGAGGAAAGAGACGATAACGGAAAAGAACCCAAGATCAACGGTTAGAACTTGCAAAGGATAATCGTGATTTAGCTCCCATCCATCGGGCAAAGGTAACCCTCAACTTAACCACCACAACGGCGCCCAAAATTTCCGTGGCTAAGCAGGACGGTCCTGCTTAGTGAGTTTTGCCTCATTTTACGACTTTTCTCGCGGCGGTTGTTTTAAGTCAGTGGTTCTCAACCTTTCTAATGCCGTGACCCCATAATACAGTTCCCCATGTTGTGGTGACCCCCAAGTGGGTGTGGCCACCAATAAGAGGGAGTAGGACAGCTAGGGAAAAGGGAACAAAATGGTGGACAGCATGGTTTGGCGACCCCCGTGAAATGGTCGTTCGACCCCAAATGGGGTCCCGACCCACAGGTTGAGAACCACTGTTTTAAGTGAATCGCTCCAGTTGTTAAACGACTGACGCGGTTGTGAAGTGAATCCGGCTTCCGCGTTGCCAGAAGTTCGCAAAAGGTGAGACCACGTGACCCCTGGGACGTTGCGACCATCATAAATAGGAGGCAGTTGCCGAAGGATCTGAATTTGGATCACGTGACCGTGAGGATGCCGCAACCGTCATAAAGTGTGAAAAGAGACCACTGTTTTCAGTGCCGTTGCAAGTTCAAACGTCGCTAAACGAACGTTGGTCAGTCAAACGGACTACCTTTATATTTCGTCAACCCTACCTTGATAATCTGTCCTTCTTTAAACGGCAGTTCTTCTGTCGCATCGGGGTTTGGAGACATGGTCAGTGGATCGTAATCAAAGAGGGCGACAAAGATGCGCGGGGCCATCTCTTCTGCTCCGGGGTCAGTTTCCGATTCTTCGTAAATCTCTGGCGACAGACGGTCGTGAGTACCGTACCCATCTGGAAAAGCAGAAATGTTGGATCGGAAAATTGGTTATAGGGAAGTCAGAGTCATTCTGAGTGGTCCTCAACTTAACAACCGTATGTTTAGTGATTTGGAGTTAGGTCCTCAGACTTACTGTTGTGCTAACATCTGCACATCCGTGCAATCAAAATTTAGGCCCTTGCCAACTGGTGTGCATTGATGAACCGACGTTTAGAACCATGTTGCTCCACCCTAAAGATGTGTGGACTTCAACTCTCAGACAGCAGCCATGCTGGTTGGGGAATTCGGGAGTTGAAGACCAAGCTTCTTAAGGTTGTCATGGTTGAAAAAAACATGGATTTTAGAACATTGGATAAACCAATCCACTGAGTGCCGGCAACCATAGAGTCTATTCTCTAGAGAAGTTGGGGAATCCCTGGGGAATTCTGGGATTTGAAGTCCAAACATCTTAGTAAAGTTGACGAACACTGGTTTAGAGGCCAGGTATTCGATCCTCTCCAGAAAGGGCTTTGATTGTTCTTCCACTTTCTAGATACTGTATATCTACACACACACACACACACACACACACACACACACACACAAACACATATATCACAAAATCTCCTGCCACCTGGTCTACAATGCCCAAAAGCCTCATTATGAGACTTACACCCAAGGAAAGTCACCTAGGGATGCAGGCTTAGGGTTTGAAGTGAAAAACAGCCCTCTTTCTGCAGTTGGTTGCTTATCTTACAAGGCAAACTCTGGTTTAAAGAGAGGTTGTGCTTTCTTCCCCCTTAAACTAGTGTCACAATAAATGCTGGGGTCTGCCACTAGATGACACTGTAGACTTGCATGTGGATTTTGATCCTAGTTTGTTCCTTGGTTGAAGTTGAAACAAAACACCATCACCCAGCCTGCTAATATGTCAGCCTCCAAGTGATCGGATGTCCTGGCCACACTACAAGGAAGGGAGGGAGGAGGGAGGGAGGAGGGAGGAGTTGGGAATGGATGGATGGAGAGGAAGGAGGAAAGAAGGGAAATGAGAAGGAAGGAAGGAAGGAAGGAAGGAAGGAAGGAAGGAAGGAAGGAAGGAAGGAAGGAAGGAAGGAAGGAAGGAAGGAAGGAAGGAAGGAAGGACAATGAAAAGGAAGGAAGGGAAGGAGGGATTGTTTAAATTTATGATGGCACTGAAAAAAGGAACTTAAGACCGTCACAGCGGTTCCCATTGTCACATGATCACAATCCAGGCACTGGCAACCAGCTCATATTTACAATGGTTGCAGTCTCCTGGGGTCACGTGATCACCATTTGAGACCTCCCCAGTTGCTTCCAACAAGCAGAGTCAATGGGAAAGCCTGCAAGAAAGGAAGCAAATTGCAATCACGTGCTGCCTTGCTTAACAACCAAGGTGATCCCCTTAATGGCGGTGGCCAAAAAGGTCATAAAATCAGGGGTAGTCCTATGAAGCCTACTTAACCTCCACACTGCTTAATGACCAATTTTTCAATCCTAATTGTCATTAAGTCAAGGACCATCTATATGTCTCTTGTTTTTCTTTAAACATCAATTCATCCTGTATTCAGACCTATTTGGTCATTTCTTTTAACGAGAAGTGAATAAAATTGTCCCTCATCGGCACCAGCCATAATTCCATGTTGGACTCTCCTTCCACGGAACTGTTAAAAATGAGGCGGCTATTTAAATCACCCGCAAAAAAAAGGTGTGAATTTTGAACTATTTAAAGTCATTTCTAATTATGAGACTTTGCACAAAGGAGAAGTGTCAGCTGACCCTTGACGTAAGCAAGAGTGAACAAACTCGATGTACTTGCTCATATTGTGCGTGCTAACCATTTGCCAAGTCCCGTGTTAATAAAACTATGACAATTGGTCACAGCATTTTTTTTTTCAGCTTGGCTTCCTTCCTTGCAATCATCACTTACTAAAATTTGGGTTGACCAGATTCTTGTTGACAGGCTTCAACTTCAACTATGCTGCAACTTAACTGGTGGTCCTGATTTTTTGTGACTGACATTAATAAGGTCAACTAACCTTCGAGACTAAATTGGCGCCAGGTAAGGGTCAACGGAATTTCGAAAGGGTTGGGCTTGGAGAATTTGACTGAGGAATTCTGGGAGTTGAAGTCCACAAATCATAAAAGGGCTAAGTTTGAAGACCCCTGTCTTAAATCTAATAAACAAAATGGAGGCTCGCTGAGGAATTCTGGGAGTTGAAGTCCACAAATCATAAAAGGGCCAAGTTTGAAGACCCCTGGGCTAGTCGACTATCTTTTCGGCATAGTCTATAGATGTTGTCAATGTCTATATGTCTATGGCTTATTTGTTCCTTTTGAATGTTCGCCTCCATTGCCTCAAAGCAGGTGTTCAGAATGAACCTTCTCTTCTGAAATTGGTAACCCCCCTAACCAACCAGGCCAATGGATCTTCACCAACTCACCCGTGGAAGGGACCAGACTGGGACGTGATCGTGATCGTTGACGACCTGAAGTGTCACGAGATAACCTTTGACCCGGATGCTCTCCTCGATCCAGCCGCCTGGACGACATCGGGTTACTTAAGAGCTGAAGGTCCAAACCAACAGGAAATAAAAGAGGAGGGAAGGGGGGGAGGGGAGCAGAGAAAGATTGTTTAAAAGCTACACCACTGCCCCGTAGAAGGTGCGAGAGGCAACAAGGGAGAGTACACAATTGCATGGAAGAATATCAAATAAACCGTTCACCGAAAACGTGCGTTCTAAAGGCAACTAAACTTTTCTTTTTTAACTGAAAGGTTAGCTGAAAAAGAAAAAGGAAGGGAAAAAAAGGGGGGGGAGACAGATGCCATTAAACCTGAGAAAAAAAATCACAGAGAGAGAGAGAGAGAGAGAGAGAGAGAGAGAGGGAGGGAGGGAGGGAGATGGACGGAGAGACGAAAAAAATTGCCATCTGGACATGGCACATATTTGGCAGACAACAGTCACACAATCAAACCCAAAAAAAAGGAGAATTAAAAGTTTTCTTTTGCCTTTGTGGTTGCGTCTTTTGGGTCTCCTCTTTGTTGAGAATGCGGCCATTCCTCGGAACTACGAAAACTGGATGAGCTGGTAGGTGTATCGGCTTTTCCGGAGTAGTTCAGCCTGTCCTATTTGCAGAATATTTGCCATCCTTTGCCTACAACGTCTTCCCTCTATCTGTTTACTTTCCTGCCGCCTTCCCAACTTTTTATTTTTATTTTTTTTAAATTGTTAAAGAGCTTTTTCCAAATTCTCTCGAGGGCTTTGGGGAGAAGGGCATTTGCAAGAACCAACGATCGATCGGTGGGGAAAAACGAAAAGAGCCGAGCGTCAATTTGGTCGTTGGACAATTTTGAAAAGAAGAAGAAGAAGAAGTAAGCTGAGAAGGACCTGGATTCGTAACAATGGACCGCTGGATCTCCTTATCATTGCAGAGTGGAATAATTGGAGCATCTAGTCTAAGTTTGCTACACCGGGAGCAAACCACGATCTGGATAAATTGGAGAGAATCAGCTTCCTTAAGCAAGACACAACGACCCTCTAGGTCTCAACGGTCCGAGTTTTTCCGCTGCCTGAAAAAAGAGGCTTAAACCTGGGCAGTGGGTGGTGGTCTTCCTGCCTGCTGAGAGAATTAAGAGTTTGCAACTTCAAAGGCAACAAGAGACGATTTCTGATTTTGTTCAAAAGAAAGAAAGAAAAAAAGAAAAGAAACAAACAGGAGTGGAAAAAATAAAGAAGCGTATGGTCCGCCACAGACGCTGGAGCAACCCCAAGGATTGGCGAGAAAGTTCATCCTTGAAAATCTGGAATGAGCTTAAAAATAAAACCAAACTAAAAATAAAAAGCTATTCAAAGCAGACATTGAAAGGGAGAAGGGAGGGGAACAGAAAATACATTCATTGTTTGGCTGTGTGTGTTTTGTTGTCGTTGCGGACGGTACGCACCAAATTATACATGGTTCTATTCTACGAAGCAAGATCAGAGCACAAATATAAAGAAGGGAAAACGAGAGAAATAAAATTAAAGAGCAATCCCAAAACGTCAGGACAATGGCAGTTCAGTTAACCCTTAATTAAAACATCATTTCAGTTGTCCTTTTAAAGAAAGAGAGGGGGGGGGGAAAGGCAGGTGTTTTAATTTTTTTTATTTATTTAGATATTTATTCGTGGCCTGTGGGGAACAATGAAATCATAACGGACCAACAAGCAATCTCATTTTTAATCTTTATTTATTTCAGCAAGGCACAAAAAAGAAAGAGGACAAAACCAAGGGGAGGTCTTAGGAAGCTGATGAAGCAACGCAGATTAAGATGGAAAGCTAATCGTTGGGAAGCGGAGAAGAAAGAATGGGAAGGGGAACAAAAAAGAGCGAGGAGTCACGTGCACATGGGAGAGAAGAACTCAAAACGGAAAGAGAGAAATGAAGATTTTTGTTTTAAAATAAAGGAAGTGATTTGGCAGGCAAGATGTTAGAAGGAAGTTTGGACTGCAACACACCGGTGGGGCTTCAGACTTTTGGTTGGGCTGCTTTGAAAACGGAAGTCTTGTTTCGTTCTCTACCAAGGGGCTACTACTCCAGTCTTCTTGAGCATCTTCGTGGGCCAAGTGTTCTGCTCTACAACATCTCTGATGTTCGGGCTTCCTCTTGTAACAAGCTGGAAAGTCCTCCCGCTTTGGAGAGTCCACAAAGAGCTGGATGGGGTCTCCAAAGTCTTCTTCAACGCTGCTCTGTCGCATCAGGGTCTTCCGACGGGCCAAGAGCGGCCGTGAGGATAAGGAAGAGCTGTCATCATCCCGACAACTGGCGGGGGACATACAGGCAGCGAGGGTGTCCTGCACGGGGAGAACATTAAAACGTGATTCTTCTTCTTCGCTGCCACAGTCCAAGCCACTGTCTGGACTTCGGGTGGAAGACCTGCTGGATCTACAACCTCGTTCTTCGGGGTCCTCAAAACTCTGTGACTTGGTGGGGTGCCAGAAGGGAGGATGATCTTGAGGGTAGGCCTTGATGGATCTACCCTCTCTAGCGAGGGTGCTTCGGGTCTGGTGGGGCCGCCGTGAGCCCTGCTTGTGGAAACGTTCAGAGGGATCGCCATCCTCTTCAGCGACTTCTGGGATACTGAACAGTTTTTTACGTTGGCGGGCAAAATTGGGAGGGTCCGGGAAAGCTGTTTCAGTGCCTTTATGCTGATAGCATTCCTTTAAGAGTCAGAAAGAAAGAAAGAAAGAAAGAAGAAAGAAAGAAAGAAAGAAAGAAAGAAAGAAGAAAGAAAGAAAGAAAGAAAGAAAGAAAGAAAGAAAGAAAGAAGAAAGAAAGAGTCAAGGAGAACAAAGTGCAATTTTTAAAAAGAGAGAGGGAAGGGAAGGGAAGGAAAGGAATGAATGGAGAAGGGAGACGAAGGGAAGGGAAGGGAAGGGAAGGAAATTAAAGGAAAGGAAAGGAAAGGAAAAATAAAGACAGAATTAGTTGTACAGCAATGGTGAGCTGAAAGCATGCAGCTCTTATTCAGGTGAAGAACTAAGTCATGCTTTGAATGGGAATCTGTGAAAATAAAACAAATGATTAGAACAGCTGTCCTAGCATGTCTATTGGGCGGGATGTCAAGTTTAGCAAGCATGTTTTACTACAGTCAAGAGAAGAACTTGGCCAGGCATACAGAACATGAGTAGTTGACCCTACATAGGAAATCTTGTCTCAAAACTCGCTACTACTTCTCTCTCGGAATGTTAGTACCCTGTAATTTGTTCAGTACAAAATCTCTTCACTATTTATTAAAAGAGCAAGAGGGTTTTTTTTTCTTTAGGGGCTGTGAGAGTGCGTGGTTTTGTGTGCTGCCTGCATCCCACGGATGGGGCTTTGCTGGTTTGTATGGACCAGTTGCTGGCATGCCGTGGCCCAGTACTGCTCCACGGACCGGGGGTTTGGGACCCCTGGACTAAAAAGCACAAAACATCTAAATTCCACAGGAAAGTTCGTAGATGTTCAAAGAAGAGGTCAACAGTCTAGGAAGCATTGGCAAAATACAAGGCTAGAGACGCAATGTGAATTTTCCCCCTCTTGAAGACTCCAAAACTCACAGACCTGAACACTGGGCGCTATCTAACAAAATGAAATTCAAGGGTGAAAAAAGTAAGGTCTACATTTAGGCAAGAAAAACTAAATGCACAGATATAGTATAGGGGGTACCTTGCTCAATAGTACTAACTGTGAGAGGGATCTCGGAGTCCTAGTGGACAATCCCTTAAATAGGAGCCAGCCGTGTGCTGCAGCTGCCAAAAAAGCCAACACAGTGCTGGGCTGCATTAACAGAGGGATAGAGTCAAGATCAGGTGAAGTGTTAATACCACTCTACAAGGCCTTGGTAAGGCCACACTTGGAGTACTGCATCCAGTTTTGGTCCCCACAATGTAAAAAAGATGTTGAGACTCTAGAAAGAGGGCAGAGAAGAGCAACAAAGATGATGAGGGGACTGGAGGCTAAAACATATAAGGAAAGGCTGCTGGAATTGGGTATGTCTAGTTTAATGAAGAGAAGGACGAGGGGGGACATGATAGCAGTGTTCCAATATCTCAGGGGCTGCCCCAAAGAAGAGGGAGTCAAGCTATTCTCCAAAGCGCCTGAAGGCAGGACAAGAAGCAACGGGTGGAAACTAATCAAGGAGAGAAGCAACCTAGAACTAAGGAGAAACTTCCCGACCGTTAGAACAATTAACCAGTGGAACAACCTGCCTCCAGAAGCGGTGAATGCTCCAACACTGGAAGTTTTTAAGAAGAAACTGGACAGCCATTTGTCTGAAATGGTGTAGGGTTCCTGCCTGAGCAGGGAGTTGGACTCGATGACCTCCAAGGTACCTTCCAACTTTATTATTATTATTATTATTATTATTATTATTATTTTGGATCATCGCACAGTCAGCCAGATGTTCAGACTGGATTTGGCATTTTGTCTACCTATCGAGTCCTTACCCAGGACCTGGGATAGGCAGATGTGGATGTTTGATGGTATTACAGGTATCGTCGCAGGATGGAAGCAGTTCCTAATAAGGCCGCCTTTTGCAATTGACTAATAGCGAATTTGTCAATGCCAATGGTGTTCAAGTGGTGCTCCAGTTGTTTTGGGATTGCACCCAAGGAGCCTATGACTATTGGTACTACCCTTGCTTGCTTTTGCCACAGTCTTTCTATTTCTATTTGTAGGTCTTTGTATTTTGTTATCTTCTCCAGTTCTTTCTCTTCTATTCTGCTGTCTCCAGGCACTGCCACGTCCACTATCCAGACTTTTTTGTCTTTCTTATCGACAATTGTTAAGTCTGGGGTGTTATGTTGCAGGTGCTTGTCTGTTTGAATTCTGAAGTCCCAGAGCAGTTTAATTTTATCATTTTCTATGACTTTCTCTATTTTATGATCCCACCAGTTTTTGCTTACAGGCAAATGATATTTTTTGCAGATCTTCCTTACTATTATTATCATTATTATTATTATCATTATTATTATTATTATTATTATTATTATTATTATTATTATTATTATTATTATTATTATCTTATCTAGATCCTTTGATAACCCCAATTTACCACTCCATTCATACAACAGTTCCTTCCTTTCTCTCTCCCAGAACTGAAGAAGCTTCTTGGATGAGAAGCGAGATGTTTTCAAGGTAAAACAAAGAAAGTCCAATGGCCTCTAAAAAGAAAAAAAGAACAACACCTTTGGGTCCTTATATCTTTTTACCTTCAGGGTGTTGTGTGAGGTTACGCTAACACGTCTCCGCCCGCCATCTTCCAGCTGCATCTCTGAATATAAGTCTTCTTCATCTTCTTCCATAATGTCAGACAAATCAGAGCCTCGGCTACTTTCCGTGTGGTATTCCTCCCCGTGGCCATACTGGGGCTGTGAGAGAGGGAGGGGAAAAGGGAACATGGAACATAGAATCAGAATCCTCTGCTCATGGCACCAGACCTTATTGTCAAAAGTCTGACTAGCGTACCCCAACAGAAGGATTCCTCAAGGCAATTTAAGTCCCAGCAGGCAAAATCTTATTGGATACAGCATTTCAGAACTAAAGAAGGAAAACCAGCTCTGAGTTTTCCTGTGCAAAAGCTCGCTTAGCTAAACAATGGATTCCCAAGCTCCCAGCCACCGAGTGGCCACATTGTCCAATAATAATACTCCGTTTTGTTAGGGGAACAGTTCACTCCTCCGTCGAGCACTTGCGGCAAAGACCTTGGCGTGGTGCAGGCTCTCACTGTTTGTGAATGGCTTCCTGGCATTCCATTTCCTCCCTTTGTTTTCTACCCCTCCCCCCTTTTCTATGGCAAGTTGATTAGCGATAGAAGCTAGCAGACATCATAAAGATTCAATCTTGACACTTATACTATCCTGGTCAAGTGCTTGTCCAGTTTTTTCTGGAGAGCCTCCAGTGATGGAGCACCCACAACTTCTGGAGGCTACGTTATTCCATTGATCAATCATTCTCGCTGTCAGGAAATTCCTCTTTATTTCCAAGTTGGAGCTTCCTCTGAGGAGTTTCCACCCATTGCTTCTTGTCCTGCTCTCTGGTGTTTTGGAGAATAAGTCAATTCCCTCTTCTCTCAAGTAATGGAAGTCAGCTATCATGTCTCTCTAGTCCTTCTCTTCGATAGCCTACACATAGGCTTTCAAAACAAAAACTGAGCCCAACAAGCCCTACGGTTGGTGAGGGAGCTCCCCACAGATTCAACCCTACCACTAGAACCACAAGCATGACCCAGTCAAAGTGTGAAAGATTGATGATCTTCTTGTTTGGTTCTTGATGACTTGGTCAAGTAGATTTCCAGACAAATGATGTATCACCCAAACAATCAGGGGGATTTATCAGATTCTAATTCCAGATCAATCTCCGGAGATTTTTGTAAGACTTTCAAGAATGGGGCTTCTAAACAGTAGTAGATAGCGAGGGATATCATCACCATTACCCACTTCCATGGAGACACTATGGATGTTGGAAGACACTCATGATCTAGATTTGTAGGCATCAGGTCGTGGGGCACACCCTCTGCTAAACTTTGTCCCTCTTTCTTGAAAAAAGATTAAAGAGGAAAAATATGGTGAACCCCCAAAACGTGAACTATGGTTTTGCTCCTGTCCCATTGCCAAGGAGATACCCATTACCTGTTTCCCAAGTTCGGAGCCCTTCAAAAATTCATCCACCGAAGCACCTCTTCGTTTGACCCTGGGTGAGTCGTACCCATCTTCTTCTTCTTCATCAGAGTTGGCGTACTGCAACGCGTTGCTTCTTTCTGGAAAGGCAGCTCTCCTCTCCATCTATGGGGTTCCAGAAGAGAAAATGAAATAAGAAAAAAGGATTCTCTCTAGGGTGCAAAGGGGATGCAGGTGGCACCTGTAGCTTCCTAAAGAGAAGATGAGGGTCAAATGAGGACGTGATGATAAAACATTTGGATACGGCAGTTTGGCAGTTCGATTCCCACTGACTCAAGGTTGATTCAGCCTTCCATCCTTCTGAGGTTGGTAAAATGAGGATCCAGATTTTGGGGGCCAAGAGGCTGACTCTGTAAACCACTTAGAAAGGACTGTAAAGCAGAGGTCCCCAACCTTTTGGGCACCAGAGACCGGTTCCATGGAGAGAGGTTTTTCCACAGACCAGAGGGAGCGTGGTTTTGTGTGCTGCCTGCTGTAAAGCACTGTGAAGTGGTATATAAGTCTAAGTGCTATTGCTATTGCCCTTCCTTCCTTCCTTCCTTCCTTCCTTCCTTCCTTCCTTCCTTCCTTCCTTCCTTCCTTCCTTCCTTCCTTCCTTCCTTCCCAGTGGTTAGAATGCAGTATTGCAAGCTAACTCTGCCGACTGCCAGCAGTTCAATTCTCAGTCTATATGTTTAAGTGCTCCTGCTATTGCCCTTCCTTCCTTCCTTCCTTCCTTCCTTCCTTCCTTCCTTCCTTCCTTCCTTCCTTCCTTCCTTCCTTCCTTCCTTCCTTCCTTCCTTCCCTTCCCTTCCCCAGTGGTTGGAATGCAGTATTGTCAGCTAATTCTGCCAACTGCCAGCAGTTCAATTCTCAGTCTATACATTTAAGTGCTATTGCTATTGCTATTGCCCTTCCTTCCTCCCTCCCTCCCTCCCTCCCTCCCTCCCTTCCTTCCTTCCTTCCCCCCAGTGGTTAGAATGCAGTATTGCAGACTAATTCTACTGACTGCCAGCAGTTCAATTCTCAGTCTGTACATCTATTGCTCTTCATGTTTTGTACCTCTGGGGTGGCCTTAAGAAGCCATGCATACGCATAAGTGATAGATGATGTAAGCATGAATATTCATAATTAGCAAGCTTTCAGTTAATTCCCTATCTTTTCACAGATACACCCTCGATGTGCGAACACACATGAGCCCCAAATCTCTGTTGCTAAGGGAAAACAGCTGTTAAATTTGCCCCACTTGACAACCGTTCTTGTCACTCTTGCTACGTGAATCACAGCAGTGGTTAAGTTAGGCACACGGTTATTAATGTATGTATGTATGTATGCATGCATGTTTGTATCGGGGTAGGCAACTTCGGCTCTTTTATGACTCATGGACTTCAACTCCCAGAATTCCAGCTATGCTGACTCAGGAATTCTGGGAGTTGAAGTCCATGAGTCATAAAAGAGCCGAGGTTGCCTACCCCTGCCATAGCAGTTTCGATAAAGCGTTTTGAGAATCGAGGACTTCAACATTGCCCCTAATTAGCACACAGTCCTTCTATGTTTCTAGCTTGCTAACACTTCCCATTCCTCCAAAATCTTTTTTCTCCCTCCGCTCAAAATCCTGGCCTGCAGTGGAGGAAAACTGACCCTGCAGTGAACGAAACCCACCCCCGGGGTTCTGAAGCCGCAACTGTGCTCACCCTGTTGCTTTCGGCTGCCACCCGCTGCGCGGCTTCTCGCGCCATGGCCTTGGCGACTGTGTTAGGGACAGGCGTCCCCTGCGGCTGTGGGAGGATCCGATTGGGAGATGGTGACCGCTGCCCGTGAAGCGGGCTGTGGAAGTTGGGAGGTTCCAGGGAGTGTCCGTGGGCGGGAGAGGCCGCGTGGGTCTGTTCCCAGGAGTCGTCCCTTTTCCCGTGCGGACACAAGTGTTCCTCTTTGGTATCTGGGATACTGGCACTTGATAATGGCTTGCTTTTGGGAGCTGGCTGAGGGTGAGGAGGCACCAGTAAGTCAGGCGGGATGGGAGTGCTCAGGGAGTCCATGGACTCCCCTTGGGCAGACAGTGTCCGCACAAGGAGCTCTCTGGCATCTAGGCTCTGGATTTTGGTTAGCGCCACTGTGGTGTTCTCTGCGGTTGGAAACATCACTTCAGCCACCTAAATGCAGAGAGAGAGGCAAATACGTTAGGAGCAATAAAGGAGAATATTTGTAGAGTCGAAATGAGGGGTCCTTGGTGCTCTCTGAGCTTGGTTGTTTTCTTGGAGATGTTTCATTACCCAAGTAGGTAACATCATCAGTGCTGGAAGGGAATGAGGTTTGCGAGGAGGGGGAGGAAGAAGAGGAGGAGGAGAATTGTGGGGTCCTTGTTGCTCTCTGAGCTTAATTGTTTTCTTGCAGATGTTTCATTATCCAACTAGGTAATATCATCAATACTAGAAGAGAGTGGGATGTGAAGAGGAGGAGTAGGAGGAGTAGGAAGAGGAGGAGGACATTTCATTACCCAACTAGGTAATATCATCAGTGCTAGAAGAGAGTGGGGTGTGGACAGGAGGAGGAGGAGAATTGTGGGGTCTTTGGTGCTCTCTGACCTTGGTTGTTTTCTTGCAGATGTTTCATTACCCAAACTAGGTAACATCATCACTGGGTAACCAAACATCTGCAAGAAAACATGAAACTCAGAGAGACCAAGGACCCCTCAATTAGGAACACTAATGAGAACCACTCTTGATATTGCCAGCTGAATAGGAGTCAGCAGAGTGATATACCAGGCAAAATAAATGTGCAATTTCAGTTCACACCATAGAAATGCAATTTCCACCCTCTTTGGCCAAGATCTGACCCCACCAAGTTCTGGATCTAATTCTGGGCGTCACGTTTTGACAAGGCCCACCCAGCTAGCCCGAAGCAAGAGAATGAGAGTTATGCAGAATTAAGAAAGGTAGCTTTATTGCCCAACAAAATAAAATTGGCACATCTAAACAAAAAATAAACAAGAGATTTCAGTTGAGGCTCTTTTAGTCCGAGAAAAGCTAGGAATCCCTAGCATAAATTTGCCAGTTAATCTCTTAATCAACAGATTGATTAACTAAAGAAATGCTTAATCAATTAATTAAACAAAAGGTTCCCTTGCTTTCCAAAACTGTCTGTTTGTGCCACAGTTGGACAATAAATTCCATTTTCTAGCTCACAGCAGAATAAATGTCTCTTTTTAAGATGATGCTCAAGCATCTGCACGTTTAGCTAATTTGGCTAGTATTCTTAGATTATTTTTAAAAATCCAACAATGTCAGGTTTCTCTAAGTACCGACCTACCCTTTGATTTTTTGCATAAATACCATAGCCAGTCACATTGGCTCCGTTGGAGGTCCCCGCTGCGGTGAGAACTGGTGGCGCCCAACAAACCAAGATAGTTCCTGGTGCTGGACCAGCCTGAATTCGAATGTCTTGAGGTGGAGCTGGTGGACCTGGAATTGAAAACAAGAAATATCTTACGGCTTCTTATTTTTCTTCTTCTTGCTAACAAATCGAATTCTTGGTGGTACAAATTAGATCTTTCCTTTGATCTAATCTCTCACTAAATCCTTGGATTCAGACAAATCCTAAAATATCTTATAGCTTCTTCTTGCTAGCAAACCAAATTCTTGGTGATCCATGTATATCTACTAGGTCTTTACCTTGACCTTCCAGTGTATCTTACTTCCTCTCCTAAATCCCTGGATTCATACAAATCTTCTAATATCTTTCCTCCTCCTCCTCCTCCTCCTCCTCCTCCTCCTCCACCACCACCTCCACCACCCCTACCACCACCACCACAAAGCAAAGTCTTGCTGGTACATCTATATCTACTAGGTCTTTACCTTGACCTTACAGTACATCTTATTTCCTCTCCTAAATCCCTGGATTCATACAAATCCTCTAATATCTTATCTCCTCCTCCTCTCCTCCTGCTCCTCCTGCTCCTGATCCCCCTCCTCACTCCCAACAAACCAAACTCTTGGTGGTAGAAATGCATCTATTAGGTCTTTATCTAGACCAGGGGTGACCAACCTTGGCTCTTTTATGACTCGTGGACTTCAACTCCCAGAATTCCTGAGCCAGCATGGCTCATCTTGGAAACCTCTCCCTTTCCCCTCAGCACGGCTGGCTCAGGAATTCTGGGAGTTGAAGTCCACAAGTCATCAAAGAGCCAAGGTTGCCTACCCCTGATCTAGACCTCACTGCTTCTTCTCTTAAATCCTTGGATTCTTCCCTGCATCCTACAAATTCCAATACCCCATTGTAAAAACTACAACCACGCTGAATCTGTAATATCTTCAACCAATCAGCTAACAACAGAGGCTGCCTTCACACAAACCATACAAACCACACAACATCTAACGAAGCCTGATATGTGGTGAGAATGCATCTGATGGTTTCTCCTTTGGCTTTGCAGGAACACAGCCAGAATTTTCCTACCCATTCACTGAACAATTATTTAAGTTAAATAATTGTGGGATAGCCTCTCCCCCCCCCCACCCACCCCAGAGAGCCCTGCATTCAAAAATACACCATCTGTTCCCAAAGCCAGGCTAGGCTTGATCTGCTGCGAAGCATCCCCGTCCTTTGGAAACTTTTTTTTTTTTTTTAAAAAAAAAAGCTTGCATTATTAGAGCGCCCTTGCTCTTTAAATAAATCCGCCGTCCGGAAATAGAAGTGTGCTAGATAGAAGACTTGCCTAAAAATAACCATGCAACTATTAAGGACATATATATTTCATGAGTTCTCTCAATGTTTGGCGAGCAAGGGGTGAGAACTTTCATAGAGAAGAATTTCCTAGCTGACTCAGCAACTCACTTCTCCATATTTTTGACACAAGACAACTGAGCCATCAAACAAACTGGCTTGATGATTGAAACTGAATTCACCTCTTAGAACAGGGTTCTCCCCCCCCCAAAAAAAAACACCCTTTAACAACTGAATAACAGAATAGAATAACAAGGTTGAAAAGACATTGGAGGTCTTCTAGTCCAACCTCTTGCTCAGGAAACCCTATACCAAATGATTGTCCAATCTATTCTTAAAAATCTCCAGTGTTGGAACACCCACAACTTCTGGAGGCAGGTTGTTCCACTGGTTAATTGTTCTAACTGTCAGGAAGTTTCACCTTAGTTCTAGGTTGCTTCTCTCCTTGATTAGTTTCCATCCGTTGCTTCTTATCCATAGCCTTCAGGTGCTTTGGAGAATAGTTTGACCCACTCTTCTTGGTGGCAGCCCCTCAAATATTGGAGCACTGCTATCATGACCCCCTAGTCCTTCTTTTCTCTAGACTGGCCATACCCAAATCCTGCAACTGTTCTTCATATGTTTTAGTCTCCAGGCCTTTCTCACTATCAGAAAATTCCTCCTAAGCTCTAGGTTGCTTCTCTACTTGATTAGTTTCCATCCATTGCCCTTCCTTCCTTCCTTCCTTCCTTCCTTCCTTCCTTCCTTCCTTCCTTCCTTCCTTCCTTCCTTCCTTCCTCCCTCCCTCCCTCCCTCCCTCCCTCCCTCCCTTCCTCCCTCCCTCCCTCCCTTAGTTCTAGGTTGCTTCTCTCCTTGGTTAGTTTCCATCCGTTCCTTCTTGCCTTGCCTTCTGGTGCTTTGGAGAATAGCTTGACTCCCTCTTCTTTGGGGCAGCCCCTGAGATATTGGAATACTGCTATCATGTCATCCACCCAACCTACCAGAGCAGGGAGACAGGGAATGTTACAGGTTCCTTCTCCTAAAGAAGTCCATCTAGTGGGATCAAGAGGAAGGGTCTCTTGTGGGTCTTACATCACTGGAGGTTTTCAAATAGACAATTGGGGTGCAAATGTCAAACTAGGGCAGAGAATGACAGCTAAGTCCTAAAAGGTTTTCGTTTTATCTTTGTGTGTTGAGCAAGCTGAAAAGATCATGTCCCCCCTCGTCCTTCTTTTCATTAAACCATTCTTCATATGTTTTAGCCCCCGGTCCCCTACTGACCACAAGTGACTTTGTGAGACTCAAGCCCTACCTGCTGGCAAGGTCAGAAATTCTACGAAAGCTTCCTTTTTTTCACGTTGCTCCAAAGGCAGCTGCCAGGGCATCTGATGGGGCTTGGCCAAAACCTTGACCTTGTAGGCCATGTTGGGTTTCAAGTTAAAAAACTGATACTTGTAAGTGGCAGCCCGGACAATGTCGAATTCCTCTTCGTTGAGGAAGATCACGTGACTGTAGTTGCTGTTCGTGGGAAGCCAGGTGATCTCCGCTGAAATCTGGGTGATGCTGTCGACCTTAAGGTGTGAAGGTGCCACAATGACATCTTTCCCAACCAACAAGGTGCACTGCAGTTCGTCGGAATTGCCCCGGCTGGTTATGCTTTGAACGGATATCCGATAAGTGCATGTAGCGATGTTCAATTTTTCGATGAGAGCTTTAGTTTTGCTCCCGAAGGGGACGTTCATTCGTACTTCCTTGTCTACCAGGACGTTGTAACTATGAATAGTTCCCCATCCAGTTGGAGCTTCCCAGCCCACAATGACACTTTTGGCTAATTGTTTGATAAGGGTAATTTTTCTAGGGTAAGGCACAATGTTTTCTCCAATTTCGTCAATGTTCACATCCAAAGTTCCTGCACCGTTATTGAGAAGGCCGGAGTCTAACTGGACCGGTAAGCTGATGTCCTGGAGGCCTTCTCCTTCCACCAGGTGACTACTGTGGTTGAGGACGTTCTGCTCGGCCTCGCCGCCCAACCCGCAGGATAAACGAGACTCATCCTGCACAAAATCCACAAAGTTGGAGGGAACCAATCCTCTTTGTCCGTCTAAAAGTTCACCTTGGGGAGAAAGAGATATGAGAAAAGGAAGCCATATACTAGCCGTGTTCCCAGGACATGAAGATCCTGTCCATCCCCTCTCCCAGCCAAGAGTCATTTATTTATGAGACTTATATACCGCTTTAAGTGCAAGCACTCTCTAAGCCAGTGGTTCTCAACCTGTGGGTCGGGACCCCATTTGGGGTCGAATGACCATTTCACGGGGGTTGCCAAACAATGCAGTCCGCCATTTTTCCCCCTTTTCTTTGGCCACGCCCCTGGCACCCAGTGATGTATAAGTGGTTGGGGGTCACCACAACATGGGGAACTGTATTATGGGGTCGTGGCATTAGAAAGGTTGAGAACCACTGCTCTAAGCGGTGTACACCAGTAAGCAATGTATATATATATTTACATTGCCCCCAACACTCTGGGTCCTCATTTTACCTACCCCGGAAGGATAGAAGACTGAGTCAACCTTGAGCCGGTGAGATTTGAACCGCTGACCTGCTAAACACAGTCAGCTAAAGTGGCTTCCAGTACTGCACTCTAACTGCTGCGCCACCTCGGCTCTCCTTCAGTCATCTACTGAAGGGATCTCCGATGTTGACAACTTTAAGATTGTGGACTTCCACTCCCAGAATTCCTAAACTAAAGCCTGGCTGGTTGACGAATTCCAGGAATTGCGCAAATCTTAAAGTTGCTAAGGTTGTCTACTGACAGCCCAAAATTGGGATCATTGGAACTGCAGCCAATCATGTTATTTAGTCCTCTGAGAATTCTTACTTCCTGCTCCTCCTCCCTTTTATTGGCCTTTTTTTCCATGCCGGCAACCCAGAAGGAGAGAAAGAAAGCCACTGCAACTCAGGGTCCCCGGAGACAAGTTTGAGGAGAGTCTCAACCACCCCCCCACCATATCTGATCCTTCTTCAGTCTGTCTAAAACCTTATCATGGAGCCTTTCTAGGGTTTGAATGAAATCTTGAGAGAGGTATTAGTTAATTAAAAGTGTTGCTGGTGATAGAAACCAGGGATGGTAGCTTCAGCATTTTATCAAAATATTGGGGTAGAACATAGAATCATAGAGCTGGAAGAGATCTTGGTGGTATTCTAATTCAACCCCTGCTCAAAGCAGGAGCCTTAAACCATCCCAGTCAAATGGTTATCCAGTCTATTTTTGAACACCTCCAGCGATGGTGCACCCGCAACTCCAGGAGACAAGCTATTCCATTGATGAATAGGTCTTAGTGTCTGAAAATTTCTCCTTACTTCTAGGTTGGTTCTCTCTTTCATGTTACTTCTTGTCCTGCCCTCTGGTGTCCTAGAGAATAAGTGAATCCCCTCTTCTCTGTGAGAAACCCCCAAGTACTGGAAGATTGCTTTCATGTCACCCCTAGCCCTTTTCTTTTTAGACTAGACCAGTGGTTCTCAACCTGTGGGTCGGGACCCCATTTGGGGTCGAACGACCATTTCATGGGGGTCGCCAAACAAGGCTGTCCGCCATTTTTCCCCCTTTTCTTTGGCCACGCCCCTGGCACCTGGTGATATATAAGTGGTTTGGGGGTCACCACAGCATGGGGAACTGTATTATGGGGTCGCGGCATTAGAAAGATTGAGAACCACTGGACTAGACAGAGCAGGAGTCTTCAAACTTGGCCCTTTTATGACTTGTGGACTTCAACTCCCAGAATTCCTCAGCCAGGCTGATAAATTCTGGGAGTTGAAGTCCACAAGTCATAAAAGGGCCAGGTTTGAAGACCCCTGAGACACAGACTCAACCATTCATCGTATAAACTAAGTGCTGTGCTTAAGAGAATGGCCGCAAAGCTTCAATGTACCTCAAGGGGGGGGAGCTATTTAAATAAAAAAATATGCCAATCAAGGGACTGCTAGGGCCCCATCTCCAACGAACCTTCAAAAAAGCCATCTTCATCCATATCTCCATACACGTAGAGATATTTTCCTGCGGTGAGTGGAAGTTCTGCCTCAGGGTTCTCATTTGGCCCATCGAACGGATTGTAGCTGAAGGAAAACACGGGTGGTGATTCTTCGTTGGAATCCTTCATAAGGAGGTCAAGTAAAGGCAAAGGTTTCTCCTGTCTAGTCAACTCTAGGGGGACATATCCCATAATCATGTGGCCAGCAAGCACCAAAGACTAAACACGGAATGCTGTTGCCTTTCCACCGAAGTGGTACCTATTTATCTACTCGCATTTGCATGCTTTTAAACTGCTAGGTGAGCAGGAGCTGAAGCAAGGAACAGGAGCTCACCCCATCACATGGTGCTCAGGTCTCAACACAGGCTATCTGCTGATAAGCTAAGTGTCTTTCATCAGCCAGCTATCGTGCCCCTACTCATAAAAAGGAGGGCACTATTAATAACTATCTGCATTCAGATCTTGGGCAGAGATATTATTTTGGGCTTGAAGTTCTGAGAAGCTAATCATTGTGGCTTAGCGTTATGACTCAACTCTTGTTCAACATAATCTGGTTGAGAAAAAACGGTTTAGCGTCATGGAGGAAGACAGGCATTGTCAATTTTTAAAAGGAGGTAGGTCAGAGAAGGTAGAATTTAAAACTAGTACAAATTTAAGGTTGAAACTGTTTATCGGAGAGGTTGCATTACCTGTATCGGGCAATGCAAAGATGGACTTTCCCCGAATATCTCGGCTTTGAGGTATTAGAATTCTGTTTCTTCTCCATCTGCAATCAGAACATGAAGAAGATAGTAAACAGGATGAATCGTCCACCTACACACGTCAACTTGTACAAAATGGGATTCCTCTTCATATCAAAGAAGGGGGGGGGAATCCCACACTGTGTCTCATGAGAGATTAAGCATGCGTGAAAGTCTGAAGACCATCTTTATCTATTTACAAAAGTGATAATTTGAGAGACAGAAAGAGAGAAGAGAGACACACATACACAGAGAGAGAAATAGAGAGAGACACACACACACAGAGAGAAATAGACAGAGAAATAGAGACACACACACACACACAGAGAGAAATAGAGAGAGACACAAACACAAAGAGAGAAATAGAGACACACAGAGAGAAATACAGAGAGAGAGAGAGAGAGAGAGAGAGAGACAGACAGGCAGACAGACAGACAGACAGACAGAGGGAGAGATTAAGCGTAGTAGCTTATGCAGAGATGCTAATAAGGAATGGAAATTGGCTAAAACCAATTGCATTGACCCTAAATTGGTGACTTTTCTTTGCAATCATTTTTCTAGCCTTTTAAGATTGATGAGATGAACAATGACAATAGGCATTCAGAGCCTGGGGGGGGGGGCGGAGAGGGAAATCCCAGCAAAGAGAATTGCTAGATTTTGCAATGCAAGAGACCTGCCTGATCCATTTAGCTTATAACTGACACAATCCTTCTCCCTAATTCCATCAACTGGATGGGGGTTTTCTGTTGCTGATTCCTAAGCCATTGCTTGAATCTTCTGCACTGATAATGTTACCTAGCTTGGTCATGAAACGTCTGCAAGAAAACCACCCAGATCAGAGAGCACCAAGGACCCCATAGTCCTTCCTTCCTCCTCCTCCCTTCTAGCATTGATGATGTTACCTAGTTGGGTCATGAAACATTTGCAAGAAAACCACCAAGCTCAGAGAGCACCAAGGACCCCACAGTCTTCTTTCTCCTCCTCTCTTCTAGCACTGATGATGCTACCTAGTTGGGTCATGAAACATCTGCAAGAAAACAACCAAACCTGGAAAAGAACTAAGGACCCCACAGTCCTTCTCCTCTTCCTCCTCCATTCCATAAAGCACTGATGATGTTAGCTATTTGGGTCATGAAATATCTGCAAGAAAACCACCAAGCTCAGAGAGCACCAAGGACCCACAGTTCAGCCCTGAGCTACAAATATTCTCTTCTATCAGTTTACTCTCTTTATCATCATTCATTTTCAGCAAAGTCACTTGCTTGCAGTTAAGGAAGGCGTTATCGTCTACATACGTCTGATTCAAATCTGCATCGTGGGCTGCCAGAACGCGAGCGGACCAGGAAAGCTGGTTTGATGGAGAGTTGTTCTGGTTTGTCACCAGACAGCTGCAGGGGACGTGTATACTCAGAGATCACAAACTGGCCTCGGGAGGGACTTTCATGACCTGCATGGAAAAAGCAACCACATCATTGAATGTCACACTGGTTGTCCTGCAGCAATTGTAACTGAATAGGCTATCAAAATAACAAAGGCAGGAATAACCTTGGATGATTCTGAAATAATAGACACCATCTTTCTCATTTTTTGCAACGTTTGCCGTTTTTTTTTTTTTTTAGAAACCAACTGGATTAATCCAGAACTGGGCAACAGCCAAATTGAATAAAACTTTGAAAAAAACAAAACAAAGTATGGCTCAAAGTCATCTCCTCCTCCCCCTCCTCCTCCTCCTCCTCCCCTACTACTACTATTTCTTCTTCTTCTTCTTCTTCTTCTTCTTCTTCTTCTTCTTCTTCTTCTTCTTCTTCTTCTTCTTCTTCTTCTTCTTCTTCTTCTTCTTCTTCTTCTTCTTCTTCTTCTTCTTCTTCTTCTTCTTCTTCTTCTTCCTCCTCCTCCTCCTCCTCCTCCTCCTCCTCCTCCTCCTCTCTTCCAGCACTCTTGATATTACTTAGTTGAGTCATGAAATGTCTGCAAGAAAACCACCAAGCTCCGAGAATCCCAGGTATCCCACAGTTGAACCCTGAGTTACAGATATTCTCTTCTATCGATAAGCCAAAATATTCCTTTTTCTTTCATTTTTTTTCCAATCCTCTTGTGAACATGACCCTAAATATAACCCAATTCTATTAAAACTAAGATTACAAATAATGAATTAACATTCCTGAGGGAACAAGGTGCGATATAAAAGCGAGAAGAAGCAATGTGGAACTCAGAAGCGGTCATGCAAAAATCTGGAAGACCACTGAGCAGAATCCAAGCCAACAGCTCAAAGAACAAACCACTCGTGGATAGAAGAAGCCTTCCTCAAACGAAAAGCCATGTGAAAAGGAAAAGCTTCCGGTGTGACAGACTTAATTTAAAGGTCTCCAAACGCAAATTAACCGCTGGCACTTAAAGAGCATTTACGCAAGCCGATTCATATCCGTATCGATCCATACCTTATGACCTCCACTAGATCCTTCCATAAATGCATCTCACTGGCCTCCGTATTTAATTGCAGTGATAGCCCAGAGCAACATAACAGGGGGAGAAAAAGGCTTAGAAGGGACCCTTCCCAATTTCTCAAGCTGTAAAGCATACGGCTATAATGGTATGTGGGAAAGACCTTGGGAGACGGGGAGAAGGGATGCTGCCTAGGGGATGAACAGATAAGAGATAGCACAGCCCACAGCTGCATAATGGGTGGAGAAAGAGACTCGGAAGGGACCCTCCCTAGTTTCTCAGGCTGTAAAGGAGGGGGCTATAATGGTATGTGGGAAAGCCTTTGAGAGACTGGGCAAAGAGATGCTCCCAAGGGAACGGTCAGATAAGGGCCTGCTTACCCCACAGCTGGACAATGGGTGGGGCAAGAAGCTTAGAAGGGACCCTCCCTAGTTTCTCAGGCTGTAAAGGAAACAGTGGTAGATTCGTACTTTCAAAATTGTAGGATTATATCAACATAGCCTTGCAATAAAAGAAAATTAGCTCTATTAGTCACGTTTCTTGTCTTCTACCTGGTAAGGCTGACTCCACTCTTCCTTCTTACCTTGACCCAGAGAGGCGGCAATTCCATTCATGAACTGGGCTAAAGATTTGCTAGGAGAGCCAGGAAGAGCCGAGGAGGCCAACAGGTTAGTGCCTAGAAGATCAAACTTCCCAGCTTGTTGCCGAAACTTTTCCAGTTCCTTGGACAGGAGGTTGAATTGCTCACTCTGCGTCCGACATTTCTCTTCGAGCTCACAGACTTTGGCCTGGGCAAACGGAGAGGAGAAAAGAACTGCAAGGCTTGTCAACGGGCAAACGTATACTGAGATAGCAAAGGAGCACTACGTTTCCTGTCTCTGCCCTGAACAAATTGTGATTTCCTATCCAAATCCTTCCCAAGAACAATCCATACAGACAAATGGAACAGACAAACATGGCAATCTCCGATTATGGCCCGGTTTGAAATGTTCAGTGGCCCTCTGTTACTATCGGTGGGAACATGCAGGTTGGAGGCCTAGCAGAGTTCTGTCAGAAGTTTAGAATGTAGAATAATAGCAGGAGACCCTCTACCATTCTGGACAAATGGCTGTCCAGTCTCTTCTTAAAAACCTCCAGTGATGGAGCGCCCACCATTGGTCGTAATTTACGTTAATTTATCCAGCTAATTATAGGACATAGAATAACAGAGTTGGAAGGGACCTTGGAGGTCTTCTAGTCCAGCCCCCTGCTGGAGCAGCAAACCCTAGACCATTTCAGACAAATGGCTGTCCAGTCTCTTCTGGGAAACCTCAAGAGATGGAGCACCCACAACTTCTGGAGGGAAGCCCTTCCACTAATTGTTCTCATTGTCAAGAAATGTCTCCTTGATTCTAGGTTGCATCTCGTTGTTAAGCTTCCAATTGTTACTTCTTGTCCTGCCCTCGGGTGCTTTGGAGACTAGTTCAACCCCATCTTTTCTGTGACAGACCCTCAAGCACTTGAAGACTGCTCTTATAGCATCCCCAATTCTTCATTAGTCTGGACATATCTAGTTCCCTCAATCGTTCATTGTATGGTTGAGGCCCTGGACCCCTTATTTTCTTTGTTGCTCTTTCTAAGACTAAATTGTTTTCTCAAGTTGTTGGTTGAACCATGCTGGCCTTGAAAAAGACCACAACAATGTCCCTAATCTCCAGGACGATCCATGAATTCCAACTATTGTTCCACAGGGTCTCAGATGGGACAAAAGTGACGTGCCAGAAAAAGGCATGGCCTGGAAGCTCAACCTGGTCACTGCCATCATCTCAGCCTTTGCTACACATGGACGGAATGTGCTAGAAATGGCTGAAGGCATCCTCCATCATTGGCGGGTGAATGGCAGTCCCCAAACCATTCTGGTACGATTGCTACACCTAAAACTAGGTTCTCCGCATCCTTCCATCACCTATCTAGATTAAGCCCTGGCAATTTCAGGAAGTCTCCTATCCATGTTCTAACCAGGTCTGGCATTCCTAAACTTCTTTCAAGGTTAGCCAAGGGCATCTTAGAGTTGCCGCCTGCTCAGAAGCCCTGTAGCCAAATTCAAGATCCTTCCAGAATCTCTTCTGGCTAGGACCAAGATCATCTACTGTAAATTCAGAATCTCTTCTGGCTAGGACCAAGATCATCTACCGTAAATTCAGACAAACTCCGCACACAGCCACGAGAAATTTTCCACTTTGCATGGAGACCAGGTTTTGCACAGTTCTGCAGAGGCCCACTCTTTGGATTAGTGGCCAACCAATGGTCTCCAGGAGTTGTTAGACACTGAGCATTTATCAGTTGAAGGATCTCCCGTTCACTTGGCCATCCAACCAAGCCATGCGCCAGTATTCACATCAAGCAATTCGGCATGCTTTTTGGGGGGGGGGGGAAACAATCATGTTTATGGTCCATGCAAAGGGAGGCCAAGGGCATCTGGGAGGGGCATTCTGGCAGTGGTTGGGTAGAAGAAGTCCCAGAGAAGGTTTTTCCCTCCTCCCTCCCTCTCCCCTCCGTCTAAAAAATACCTGCATACTGTCCAAAGTGATCTGGATGAGAAGCAAAGCAATACATAGAAGAAAAAAAAACAAAAGACACAGGATGGGGAAAAAAAAGTTGTGCGTTAAAAGAAAGATTTACAAAAAGCCAAAACAGCCAAACAACAGACATGTCCATCATGTTTGGTACTCTACAAAGCAATACACATATTGTCTGTACTACAGGTCTGAAACTGTTTCAGATCTTCTGGAATTGTTCTCTCCCTCCCTCCCTCCTTTCTTTCTTTCTTCCTTCCTTCCTTCCTTCCTTCCTTCCTTCCTTCCTTCCTTCCTTCCTTCCTTCCTTCTTTCCTTTCTCTTCCTCCCTCCCTTCCTCCTTTCCTTCAATTTAGGTGCTGCCCATCTTGCTGACAAGCTTGCAAGGCATCTTGGGCACAAGAGCTTGGACAAGATCTGGGAACATCTCAAAGGCTTAATGTTCCCATCTCCTCGCCCAAATGAAGACCATCTTGTTATTTGAAACCAAGGCTGGAGAGAGACCCAGAGGAAACGGCCATGCTTTGCAAATCTGAGTCCCTATGGATAGAAATGACAGCATCCCCTTCCATGCACCCCCTTTTGCTTAAAAAAAAAGAAGAAGAAGAAGAAGTTTCCCTATGGGTGGAAGGGGTGCCTATGCCAAGTTCCTGAAGCTGTAGACTGGTAGGCTATCGGAATACCTCAAGAAGCATGGAAGTTGCCCTTGCTGTCTTCTTCTATAAAAAAGGCCAGCAAGATGGTTGAGGAGCTATCTGAGAAAACGGCAGCCATCCCACCAATGAGTAAATCAGCCTCAAAGTGAGAGGGAAAAAAGTCCACTTTAGCAAGAACATTCATGGAGGGCAGAGGTAGTGGTTCCAAAAAAAACACAGTTGGGTGGCCTCAACTGTGAAATCAAGGCCACCACCCACTTTTTCCATGAGCGACTGGTGAGAAAAGTCGAGCCATCAATTGCATGGCATGTCCCAAAGGTGCTTTTCCCAAGATCTTTCCCTCTTGGGACTGATCTAATTTTCTTTTGCAAGCACCAAAAATGTCTGAGCCATTTGGACTTTTGATTTTTTTTTTTTTAAAAAAAATCAGTGTTAATACATTTAGCGGTAACAGTAAAACACACAGGAACGTTTTGCTGGTAAAGCTCTATTAATTTAAAACAACAACAACAACAACACATGTTTGCAGCAGTTCAGAATCACCGATGCTGGTTCTAAACATGTAGACGCAAGCAGAAATAAAATCAGAAGCGAACACTGTTCGCATCAGCTGATTCCCTTGTCTCACTAGCAATAGAAAGATCATAAAATTCAATCAGAATGGAGCTGGAAGAGAGCTTGGCGGTCTTCTAGTCCAATTCTCAGGATCTCTGCTAGAGATCCTATCCAGTCTCTTCTTAAAAGCCTCCAGTGATGGAGCACGCACAACTTCCGAAGGCCAGCTGTTTCACTGGTTAATTGTCTTCACTATCAGGAAGTTTCTCTTTAGTTCCAGGTTGCTTCTCTCCTTGATGCAGGGATGCAGGCAACACACAAAACCACGCACTTTCCACGTCCGCAGAAAAAAACCTCTCTTCACGGAACCGGTCCCTGGTGTCCAAAAAGGTTGGGGACCTCTGATCTAGCAGTTGATTAATGCACAGGTAGTCCTTGATTTACGCCCAACGTTTCGGTTGCTAAGCCAGAAATGTGTTAAGTGAGTTTTGCCCTATTTTATGACCTTTTCTGGCCACATGTGTTAAGTGAATCATTGCCAGTTTGTTAACGTAGTAGCGTGGTTGTTAAGAGAATCTGGCATCCCCCATTGGTTTTGCTTGCCAGAAAGTTACAAAAGGGGATCACGTGACCCCAGGATGAGTCAGCTGCCAATTGTCTGAATTTTGATCACGTGACCCTGAGGATGCTGCAACGGGCAAAAGTTTGAAAAACGGTCCCAAGTCCCTTTTTTCCAGTGCCGTTGTAACTTTGAACGGTCACTAAATGAACTGTTGTATGTCTAAGACTACCTGTATTTACAAAAGCACAGATTACGCGCATCTCCAAGCGGCAAAGCAAATAAAAACTGGCCTTACCTCTAGCAGCTGGATTGCTCCCTCATGTTCTTTCTTAGCCTCAACCTGAGCCTACGGGGAAAAAAGAGAGAGAGACAGAGAGAGAGGAAAAGGAAGAATGATCACTTATTTCTCTGCAATAAATTCTGTAGAAAGGAAGCTGTCCTCTGTAGCATCCCTCAAGCGATTATCAGGAATTTGGCAATCATGAGATGTCATAAATATCAAGGGCTGCGCTTCTAAAGCGTCTTGGACCAGATTTGTTTTAGCGAAGACTTCTCAGGAGATTTAACACATGAAATACAGACTAGACTAGACTAGACTAGACTAGATTAGACTAGGACTAGAATAGAATAGAATATGGAATGGAATGGAATGGAATAGAATAGAATAGAATAGAATAGAATAGAATAGAATAGAATAGAATAGAATAGAATATGGAATGGAATATGGAATGGAATTGGAATAGAATAGAATAGAATAGAATAGAATAGAATAGAATAGAATAGAATAGAATAGAATAGAATAGAATATGATAGGATAGGATAGAATAGAATAGAATAGAATAGAATAGAATAGAATAGAATAGAATAGAACAGAATAGAATAGAATAGAGCTGGAAGGGACCTTGGAGGTCTTCTAGTCCAGCCCCCCACTCAAGCAGGAGAACCTATATTGTCTCAGACAAGTGAACACCCAGTCTCTTCTTAAAAACCTCCAATGATGGAGCACCCACAACTTCTGGTGGCAAGCTGTTCCACTGGTTGATTGTCCTCACTGTCAGGAAGTTTCTCCTTAATTCCAGATTGCTTCTCTCCTTGATCAGTTTCCAACCCTTGTCCTGCCCTCTGGTGCTTTGGAGAATAGTTTGACCCCCTCCTCTTTGTTGCAGCCTAAGACAAGGGCAACCTATAAATGCACCTTAAAATGAGATTTTTTAAAAAAAAAAAAACAGAAGGTTTTTCTGAAAAAGAGCGAAACTTTCAGGAATTAGGAAGGCAGGAATTTTGTGTGGGATTTTGTTTGTTTGTTTGTTTTTTTGGGAGGGGCACAGTTTAACTTGTGTTTATGTTTTGGCATACTTCAGGAATCATAAGTGAACATAAAAATGTAATGTCCCACCTGTTAGCTCAGAAAGTCCACCCAAATTCTAGGGGAAATTGTTAACCAGTCATCACCGTCTCTGCTCTCTTTGCGGCCTCGAGACCGGATCCTGGATCTTAGATTACTTGAGCTGTATGCCAAACTATATTAAACTCAGCAATCAGATCCCCAGAAGCGAGAAATAAGCCTGAGTTCTGCAGTATGAAAGCTTCTTTGCAACATAATAAGAAACATCCATCTTATCTTGTATCACAGACTTCCATAATAATACATCTTTTCGAAATTCGAGCCTCTAATAATAAAGGAGAAAGACAGATACAGAGACAGAGAGAGAGAGAGATAGAGACAGAGAGAGAGACAGAGAGAAAGAGACACAGAGAGAGAGAGAGAGAGAGAGACAGAGAGAGAGAGAAAGAGACAGAGAGAAAGAGAGAGAGAGACAGAGAGAGAAAGAGAGAGAGAGAGACAGAGAGAGAGACAGAGAGAAAGAGACAGAGAGACAGAGAAAGAGGCAGAGAGAGAGAGAGAAAGAGAGAGACAGAGAGAAAGAGACACAGAGAGAGAGAGACAGAAAGAGAAAGAGACAGAGAGACAGAGAAAGAGGCAGAGAGAGAGAGAGAGAGAGAGACAGAGAGACAGAGAGAGAAAGAGAGAAAGAGACAGAGAGAGAGAGATGGCAATTTTAGTTTCTCAACCAACATGGTTATCCTTAGTGGATCGCCTTATCAGTATCCATTTCCTCTTGAAGGACATTATTAATGTCTTCTCCGGTTTTGGAAGCTGGCTATGAAGAACGGTCCAGGAGAGACTTTTCATATATTCTGTAATTGGATAATTGTTCCAATCACATTGTAAGGAGCAATGAGAAAAGACTGTTATTAAATTTACTGGTCTGGATGTGGAGAATTTGCTAAAGCAGAAAGAGAGGGGGGGAGGGGGAGAGAGAGGAGATAGAAGAGAGAGAGAGAGGAAAGAGAGGAGACAGAGGAGAGAGAGAGAGGAGATAGAAGAGAGAGAGAGAGGAAAGAGAGAGAGAGAGAGAGAGATTAAGCACAGTAGCTTATACAGAAATGCTAATAAGGCATGGAAATCTTACCTTTTGCAGCAGTTCAATTTCCTTCTGTTTTGAGTTGAGAATAGCCAAGGCCTGTTCATGCTCTAATTCCAGCTGTTGCCGCCGTTCAGCAGCCTCTCGCATATGCTGTGAAGAGAAAGGAAGATAACCACCGCAGGTGAAGCTAGCCAGCCCCAGGGAGTCCTCGACTTCCAAGCAGAATTTCCACGGCTGAGTATAGGCTCTCCTGCTCGAGCAGGGGGCTGGACTAAGAGACCTCCAAGGTCCCTTCCAGCTCCGCCTGGGCTGTGAGCTTCCCAGCTGACCAGCTCAGCGTCTTTAACCGTTGAGCCAGGGTGCCCCCTCATAAATACGTGTTGGTTGCCAAATGCCCGAATCACATGACTGTGAGGAGGCTGCAGTGGCTTCAAGTGCAAGGGCTGGGGGCTTTTTCCAGGGCCATTGTAACGCCGACTACCTGTACTCTTGTCTGCTTCCTTCTACGAGAGTGCCAAGTTTTAGGTTCGTAATATCCACCTTACCTTTAGGACTTGCTCTAAGTTCTCCAGTTTGGCTTGGAGCTGGCGTTTCCCCCAAAGAGCCAAATCTCGTTCTTTGGTTACAACAGCAAGGACTTCTCTGAGCAGGTCATTGTTGTTTTACACCTAGAGAGCAACCAGGAAGAGAGAGAAGAAAAAAAGGAGGGTCAAAGCTACTTTCCTTACTCCATTCTTGTCAACGGAAAGAGAAGGTGAACAATTGTTTCTGAGTGAGATGCCTTCTCTTATTGATTCCCCCCCGCCCCAACCATAGAAGACATTGGAAGATCTGAAGTTCAACCATTCTAGAAGTTGTATAGATTTTAATCTGAGAGTCGGAAAAGAGAAGGTGCCTGTCAGGCAAACAATCAAGCAGTAGACAACAGCCTAGTCAAGGAACCACCAAGAATACTCCCATCAACACTGCCAGGGCAAGCCAGTTGTATATAAACAGAGAGCAAACCACACTCCCTTCTAACCCTGGTGATGTTACCTAGTTGGGTCATGCAACGTCTGCAAGAAAACCAGCAAACTTAGAGAGCACCAAGGACTCCGGAGTCGTCGTCCTCCACCTCCTCCTCCTCCTCCTCCCCCTCTCCTCCTCCTCCTCCTCCTCCTCCTCCTCCTCCTCCTCCTCCTCCTCCTCCTCCTCCATGCCCTTCTAGCCCTGATGATGTTACCTAGTTGGGTAATGAAATGTCTATAAACCACCAAACTCAAAGAGCACCAAGGATGCCCTTCTCCTCCACTTCACAAATCCCACTCCTTTCTAGCACGTAGGATCAATCAACCAACCAAGTTCAGAGAACACCAAGGATGACTACCACCTCCTCCTCCTCCTCCTCCTCCTCCTCCTCCTCCTCCTCCTCCTCCTCCTCCTCCTCCTCATCTCCACAAATCCCACTCCTTTCTAGCACTTTGGATATTATCTAATTGGGTCATAAAACATCTGCAAGAAAACAACGAAGCTCAGAGATCACCAAAGACCCACAGTCCTCCTCCTCCACCTCCCCTTCCTGTTCCCCCTCATCTTTCTTCTCCACACCACAAGCTCCACTCTCTTCTAGCACTGATGATGTTACCTAGTTGGGTAATGAAACATCTGCAAGAAAACAACCAAGTTCAGAGAGCACCCAGGACCCCACAAATGACAAATAAAACAGATCCGCCTAGACGTTGGTCTGAGGATGCTTGATAGCCCCAGCATTTGGCTCTGACCATGACCTTCAGGGGTGACAGGTCAGCCTGGCAGCATGTGGGCATCACAGAATCAAATTCACCAGCGGGAGGAAGAAGGGAGCGATGCAATGTGGCATCCTCCTGGCAAAATTTCCCAAAAATTTTTTTTAAGCCAAGTTAAAAAACAACAACAAATGATCTGCCTCTGAATGTTAGGTGCAGCCTGTTCCTTTAACTTAAACCCTCGCCTCGCAAAGCTCCCTAGTGGTGCTACAGTACCTGGTGTGGTCTGCTGGCATATTGGAAGCTCAAAGGATCCTTTCCATCCCCGACATCTTTCAGTTCATTTTCCTGCAAGGAAAGCAAAGAGGGACTCAAGCACTGCCCTGGCGTTTTGTTCAAATGTTGCAGCTAAGTTGGATGGGGCTGGGGGGAGAAAGGAAGGATTGTATTTGTTTATTTATTTGCATTTACCCTCTCCCCCTTTATTATTTTTTTTACAAATAACTCAAGGCAGCAAACATATCCAACACACTTTCCTCCTCCTATTTGCCCCACAACCAAAACCCTGTGAGGTGGGTTGGGCTGAGAGAGAGAGGGACTGGCCCAAAGTCATCCAGCCGGCTTTCAAGGCAGGACTAGAATTCCCAGTCTCCTGGTGATTGGCCCAAAGTCACCCAGCCAGCTTTCAAGGCAGGACTAGAATTCCCAGTCTCCTGGTGATTGGCCCAAAGTCACCCAGCCAGCTTTCAAGGCAGGACTAGAATTCCCAGTCTCCTGGTGATTGGCCCAAAGTCACCCAGCCAGCTTTCAAGGCAGGACTAGAATTCCCAGTCTCCTGGTGATTGGCCCAAAGTCACCCAGCCAGCTTTCGAGGCAGGATTAGAACTCCCAGTCTCCTGGTGATTGGCCCAAAGTCACCCAGCTGGTTTGCATGGCTAAGGCAGGACTAGAACTCCCAGTCTCCTGGTGACTGGCCCAAAGTCACCCAGCTGGCTTTCATGGCTAAGGCAGGACTAGAACTCCCAGTCTCCTGGTGATTGGCCCAAAGTCACCCAGCCATCTTTCACACCTAGAACGAGACTTGAACCCACTGCCTCCTGGTTTCACGGCTAAGTGGGGCAAGACTAGGACTCATAGTATCCTGGTCACTGTACCCTTCACAAGTGCAACAATTCACTGGCAAAAGGCATGTCTCTCTTGATGGCCTTGCTTGCAGCTGTGGTCCCTAGGTTGAGGATTACCTGTACCAATAATCTGAGGCAGAATCTCCCGAGAACTGGGCCTTCTGCGAGATATCTATCTTTAATAAAAGCATCAAAAACGAAAAGTCCCCCCTCCCTCCGTCTGCCTTGCAGCATTCCTGCCTAATAAGCTAGCTAATATCCTGTGATCTCCGACACGAAGAACGGCAAAAAAGAGGGGAAAAAAGCAAAACAAAACAGGACAGAACAAATGTTTTTTTTGGGGGGGGGGGAGGGAAATTAAATAGAACAAGTTGCCTTTTAAAGCCTTTGTGCGAAAGCTCAAGCCGGCATCTCTTCCGAGACTGGAAAATAAATGCAATTTAAAACGACACAGTGAGAGTAATAAAAAAAAATCTTTCAGGGAGTACAAGGGCACTGTAAGCGAAGAAGAAGAAGAAGAAGGAGGAGGAGGAGAAGAAGAAGAAGAAGAAGAAGAAGAAGAGGAAGAGGAGGAGGAGGAGGAGGAGGAGGAGGAAGAAGAAGAAGAAGAGGAGGAGGAGGAGGAGGAGGAGAAGAAGAAGAAGAAGAAGAAGAAGAAGAAGAAGAAGAAGAAGAAGAAGAAGAAGAAGAAGAAGAAGAAGAAGAAGAAGAAGAAGAAGAAAAAGAAGAAGAAAAAGAAGAAGAAAAAGAAAAAAAAAGAAGGAAGAAATTCAAGGCAGGAAGAAAGAACCAGTCAGCAAATTTAACCCACCATTGTTTCGGAAGCAAGAATCTGTATCGCCTGGAGTTAAGCATCTCTTTTGTTTTGTTTTTATGTTTTATTTAGTTCACACGTCCTCAGTGTATTTTGTTTCCTAGTTGGAAACACAGAAAGGAACCAAAAACCTAGGCCAAGCTGGAGGGGGAAAGTTACGTAAATGCCACAGACCTTAAAAGATCTGGGTGTGTGTGTGTGTGAAGCCAGCTCAACAAAGAACGAATGCAGCGTGGATCTGAAGTCAAACCAGACCAGAATGCGCAAACATCTTGAGAGTTGAACCAAACACTGTGATGCTCTTTCCTTTCATCTTCCTCTCTGAATTAATTTGGCACTGTGGTGTCCTTGGTGCGCTCTGAGCTTTGGTGATTTTCTTGCAGATGTTTCATCGGTGCGCTGGTTATGTTATCTGGCTGGGTAATGAAACGTCTGCAAACAAATAACCAAGCTCAGAGAGCACCAAGGACACCACAATCCTCTTCCTCCTCCTCCATCATCACCACCACCACCACCACCACTATCTCACAGAAGACTTTTTTTCAAGGAACTGCCATGAAGAAAACAACACTCCCACCAAGACTAATAGGGCAAGCCACTTGTCTGTAAACAGAGAGCAAACCCGATTCCCTTCTAGCACTGATGATGTTGCCTAGCTGGGTTGTGAAATGTCTGTAAATCATCAACCTCAAAGAGCACCAAGGACCACCACCACCATCACCTCCTCCTCCTCCTCCTCCTCCTCCTCCTCCTCCTCCTCCTCCTCCTCCTCCTCCTCCTCTCCACAAATCCCACTCCTTTCTAGCACTGAGGATATTATCTAATTGGGTAATAAAATGTCTGCAAGAAAACAACCAATCTCAGAGAGCGTCAAGAATTTCACACTCCTCCTCCACCACAAACCTCACTCCCTTCTAGCACTGATCATGTTATTTAGTTGGGTGAGGAAACGTCTGCCATCAACCAAGTTCAGAGAACACCAAGGACGATGACGACCACCTCCTCCTCCTCATCTCCTTCTTCTCCTCCAAGTACTCCACAGGCAGCTTCCTCCCCTTCGCCCTTGCGCATCTCACTCCCTTCTAGCACTGATGTTACCTAGTCAGGCAATGAACTATCTGCAAGCGAACAACCAAACTCAAAGAGCACCAAGAACTTCACAGTGCAACCCTCAGCTACAAATATTCTCTCTTATTGCTAATTTGAGGGTTTGTTGACTTCCCATTCTTCTCTCTCATCTTGGAGTATCTTTATCTGCTCCATCCAGCTTCCAACGAGGCCCAAAGCACTTTACAAGGCCTCGGTAAGGCCACACTTGGAATACTGCATCCAGTTTTGGTCACCGCGATGTAAAAAAGAGGTTGAGACTCTAGAAAGAGTGCAGAGAAGAGCGACAAAGATGATTAGGGGACTGGAGGCTAAAACATATAAGGAATGGTTGCTGGAATTGGGTATGTCTAGTTTAATGAAGAGAAGGACGAGGGGGGACAGGATAGCAGTCTTCCAATATCTCAGGGGCTGCCCCAAAGAAGAGGGAGTCAAGCTATTCTCCAAGGCACCTGAAGGTAAGACAAGAAGCAACGGGTGGAAACTAAGCAAGGGGAGAAGCAACCTGGAACTAAGGAGAAACTTGCTGACAGTTAGAACAATTAACCAGTGGAACAATCTGCCTCCGGAAGCAGTGAATGCTCCAACACTGGAAGTTTTTAAGAAGAAACTGGACAGCCATTTGCCCGAAATGATATAGGTTTTCCTGCCTGAGCTGGTGATTGGACTAGATGACCTCCAAGGTCCTTTCCAACTTTACTACTACTACTACTACTACTACTACTATTATGATGATGATGATGATCTTCTGTTGAGTTGTTTCATCAACTCCAATCAGAGCTCTTAAATTTCTCTTTGAAATAGCGGTGACGACTTACCCAGACTTAGGGGGACCTGCAAAATGTGGGCCAGCCCACCAGGAGACAAAGAATCAGGGACATCCAGAAAGTATCAGCCAAGGGAGGGTTCAGCTCAACCATCCAACTGCTTTTATTTATTTCCCCCCCCCCCCCCTTATGTATAAGTGGATGAGGAAACCATCTGCATTTTAAATAGCTCCGGTTCCACAATTAGATTCTTTCTTTCCTTTTAAAGATGCAAATTAAAACGTGTCCTAATAAAAGAGGATCAACACCGCAACCGACCCGGAGTTTGTTCTTTAATGATAGTCTGAGAACAGAGCATTTGATATGCAGAGGGTAAAAATAGCCACGAAGGAAATAAACAAACTGCCTATGTAAGGCTCAGAGCCACCGGCTCTTTGAACAGCGAGAGTCTTCTTCAGCAATCGGAGTTTCTGGCAAGAGACACTGCGGTTAAAGTGTCATCAAACCGTCCAGCAAGGCTGTCCAGGATGGGCACCGAGAGACCGATCCAACTAGCCAGCATGCCATTTTGGAGAGCATGTAGCCAGATGTGTTTGGGATGCTCATAAATCCAGACAGAATAAACATCCATTTCCATTTCATCACCTGCTGCTGTGGCAACTTCTATCATTTAGCTACGCCTTCCCTCCATCAGCCTCCACCCTTGGCCATCTTCGTTAGGAAGGATGACGTCAAGACTGATTTGCCGTCACAGTTTGACAAAAAAGGGAAGCAGTTGTGGAATGGAATGCAAAGATTGGGGGGGGGTGAGGTGGTATTTAGGCAACCGAGGCGTCTTTGGAAGTGTGGCTCACTGTTTTCTCATAACAAAATGAACAAAAAGTATCAGTTGTGGGTGGCTCGGAGGGAAAATGGAAATAACTATGCTTGTGTTTGTGCGGGAAATCAGAGCTGGTTTTGCTTCTTCTATGCCAATGTAGATTTTCAGTAAAGTGTTACACCCTTGGTAAAATTATGTCCCAGGAGTTTCTTTTTCTGGAAAGAAAAATTAAAAAATTAATCTTGCAGGACCATCAAGAACCTAGTTCCCTGAGGAATTTACAAGGATCCAATCTTCCAAATCTGTGATGCTTCCTTTAGGGGTTGCCTCCAGTTGCTAAAAGACGCAACTACGCAGTTTGTCTTTCATGAAGCCGGCTGAATTTGTCACCCTGGGTTGGGGGTGAGTGGGAGAAGACTTGATAAGTTGGACCCCCCCCTCAACTTGAGAGAACATTCAACGGCCACCCTACGTGGCATTTGTGTATTGCTACGTTAATTATTGCACAGCTAGGGATTAAATCTTATAGCTTGGCCTTTACTTAATGAGCAAGCTGTGAGGATTCGGACTCATATTTTATTAATCAAAGATGTTTCAAAACATCGTGACAGAGATATATTTAACAAATGCATGCACGGCATGGTGTAGGGACCGTTGCTTTTCTTTCAATATTTTCTTTTATGAAGAACGGCTGCAGGACTTGGGTTTGGCTAGTC